TAACTGAAAATCAACCCATTTTGTTCTGAAAGGGTCTTTTGAATTTAGAATATAAAACCCAAATTTTGTGTGCTGTTGACATTTTCCTACAACATTGATCCACTTTAAAATGCTGAAAAAGATATACTCTTTATCATTTACAGAATATTTTGCATAGCTCATAAGCCCTTGATCCAGGGACAGCCAAGATCTATGGTCACTTCTTGCCTGCAGAAGAAATCTATTTTAGAACAGGATAAAGCAAAGCTTATCTTTTAATTCTCAAAATCGTACTTGGAAAAAAATAAGTTAATGTAAAATACATTAAATAATGAGTTAAGCAATTTGTATACTAGATAATCCCTGTGTGTGCACGGAGGTGCCAGTAACAGAGTGGTTCCTTGCTTGCACAGCAAGGGAGAAGCCTCAAAGGTGCTGCTTCCTCCTGCTGACATTGCACAGGGTAAAAACCAAGCCCTGCCCAGGTGTGAGAGCATCTCTCCTGCAGCAAACACTCCCACAGGGGTTAATATTTCCACTGGACTAAAACAAAATTAGAAAATACTTTGATAAGGGGAAAAAAGTTATTTAAAAAAATTTCTGAAATATTCTCTGAAACATTATTTTTCCTGAAGAACCTTGAAAATTTTGCTTGGACTTCTGTTCCCATCAGGAAATTTTTGTTTGCTTGTTTGTTTTTAATAAAAATAAAAACACAACCAGAATGACAGTAGAAAAATCTGTTCTCTGGAGATCTCAAAAAGGATTTATTTTTGCAATATACAGACCTAACCTATTACTCTTAGATAATTACCTTGCATAATATTCTAATTTCACAGAGAAATTTAATTTTAATTTACAGTTTAATTGTCCTACTTTAGGTAAGCATGTCACCTGTGTCACTTGGTGACTTATAATTGTAATCCTCATTTAATTATTTACTTCAAGGGAGCATTTTAATTATGGGTATTACTATGTGTCTAGAGTAACTTATACTTGAGAGTAGTGAAAATTTACACAGCAGACCGCTTGCCTACATTTTCACTAGCTGTGACTCTCTGTGCATGGGTCCCAGCTGCAGAAACGACTCCTACAATTGCAGAGCGATGGTATTTTCCTCGTCACTGACAGATGCTCAGTTGTACACGGACACTCTTCTACCCCACTTTCAAAGCAGACGCTCAAATCTACATCCCAAGAAAGCAGTTTGGGTGGAGTTTTTCCACCACAGAGCAGAAACTGAAATGAAATGAGTTATTTTACAAGCACTCCCAGCATCTCTCATCCCTCCCACAAGTGCTCTTAAAATCCACATTACCAAGAGGACAGGCAGCAGCCCGCAGGGTTTCCCAGCCCTCCAAGCCCCGCGGGGCCGGCAGCGCTCACAGGGCTGTGGCACCCATCCCACCTCTCTGAACCCACAGCCCATCCCCACAACATTGCCCTGTCAGGAGAGGAATTGCATCCAGGGTGCCCGAGATCAACATTAGTGATACGTGCAGGGTCCCCAGCTGAAATATAAATGAGAAGATAACGACTTCTCACCTCTAAGTTTGACCCTGCAAATAATCTCTGGGAGAAGGAGCGGCCGTGCAGCACTGGCTCCGTGGGGAGGCTGACACAGTGACCTGCCTCCATGGTGGTCAGTAACAGAGGTCCAGGGACCGTGATGAAATGCAGAGCAGGAGCTTTCTTCTGCTTTATTTCACCAGATTTGAGCAACCGGTGATTTATGGGTTTCCTGAGCTGAGGGCCGCATGTCAGCTGTCAGCTTTAATAGCCATCATTCAACCAATCTTCCATGAATTTATCTAATATCTTTGCAAGCTCTTTATATTTCTGGCTTCCCAAGTATCACTTGTGGTAGAGAGCTCCACCATTTAATCTATTGCACTAAATATATAGATATATATATAAAAATATATTACTTTAAATGTTTGCTTTAAATCTGACAGATTTGTGAGTTTGTCTGCTATCACAGGGTCATCAGTCCAGTAATTTTAACTTCCAAAACAGACATTTCATCACTGCATGAGCTGCACTATGCAGCTTTCCTGCACTGCACCATGTAATATGTATCCTTCCCCCTTCCTAAAACACAGCCATGGCAGGCTTAAACCCACAGTTTGTCTGCAGCCTCAGAGCATCCTGAGCTTGGCCAGGCTCCCTAACAACTGAGGGTGCTTGGCACCTTTCAGCACTGAGGATATCATGTTTCCCATCTGAAATTGCTTACCTCATCAGTCACTAAGGGCTCAGTTTGGAAGTCATTAAAAATAATGAGAACACTGGCACTTGTCCCAGCAATAATGGCATTGGATTCGGTGTTACTTTTCTACTTTAAGACATTTGTATATATCCACAGATCATTTAACTCTTATCTTTATACTAGCTTTAATGAAGCTAATGGCTGTTGAAACTGTGGGCTTTCTATTCTACTTTTTATTTAAATAAGTGTCTGCCCACTCCATCATAAAGTGACACAAACACTTACACAGCATATTGCATCACGAATGCCCCAAAGTGTTTACCAGGATCGCCATATCCATCATGAAAATGCAAGCACTTCTCAGTCAATAAACACTTCAGCTGACAATAAAGTCACAAGAGAGTTTTCAGGAGGAAAACTGAAGAGCAACAAATCTAATTTATCCAAAACAAATTTAGAACCCGCACTGCTGGTAGAGTCTCACAGTGTCCTGCATTTTCCTCTCCATCTGTATTTATTGCAGCATTTTTCCTTCTAGCACCATGCAAAAAGACTGACTCCATACCAATGCACTGAGTATCAGCATCACTCCTGCAGGGTCTGTATTTTACGGGCTTTGACAAGATAATGAGCCCTCAGTAATATGCTGCAGGCCATCACAAACCACAGCTTTAAAGAGTTTCATTAATCCCCTCAAAATAGAAAATACTGATTGTTGCAAAACGCATATTAAAACTTTAAAACCCTTGCCCTTATTTTCAACATCTACTTTAGGACTAATGTAAAATTTCTCACTGCTACAATTTGCCTGGTAAGAACAAGCCTGAATTACATTCTTTGAAATAAATAACAGTAATATAAAACTGGAAAAAATACCATCTTCCTTCAATACATACATTTTATTACTCTAAGCATACATTTAAACGTGAAAAACAGACCTGCTCAGGTAGATGGATTCAAAAGTCATAGACCCAGTACTTCTGCACTGCCAAAGCGAGATACTTCAGGCTCCCAGAAATTAGTCACAGTGATATGAACATTTTGGTATCACCTGCTCACAGATAAGATAACTCTGAGATGCACAGAACTCAAACTCTAGGAACCCTGGAAGACTATCCACGTGATGAGAAGTCCAGAAACCCTGGACTGCTGCTGAAAACCATATGCTCTTCTCAAAATCAGTAGGGCTTAATATGACTTAACTCACTACTATACCTAGGTGGGACCATAAAATTAAAAGGCAGATATGGGTCAAACAATAATTCTGCACATAAAAAAACAAGAACCAGATTTGTTAGAAAGTTCTCTTCATAAAGTTAATTTTTAATTGCTTTGATGTTATTATCAGCATACGTGAAAAATCTGAAGAATATTACCATTGCATAAAACAAAATAATTAAAATCTTCCAAAAGCCTCTTTGCTTAGTGAAATGAGATACTCAGTTATTAAAATAACTATTTTTAAGTCTGTTAAATGTTTAATATCTTCACAAAGCATTTTCTTTGCACTTATTTTTACATGGTGGACAAAGTCCGTTTTAGGAACACATACTGGTAATATTCTCATTGGTTTGTGCAGCACCTCTTATCTAAAAATATTTTATGGTATGTTACAAATAGGTTACAAAGCCAGAAAAAAAATAAATAAATAAAAATCACCCAGCCATCTCTAGCAGCACACAGCATATCATGAAGTTGACTTTACTTTCATCTATTAGATTTGTGATCAGCTTTAAAGATATCTGCTAAACATCCATAGAACTACTGGTTCCAGCCACACCACTTAACCAGGATGTGTAAATGTTTAGGCATTGTGAATAGTCTCACCATTTTAAGACATGAGAATGTCCCCACACAGCTCAAATGAAAAGTGAAGACCAATATAACAATTGATTTGAGGACAACATAGAAGGCCAAGAATTAATTAAATCATGAAGCTTTCAATTAAAATAGATATATTTTCAGAATATTTGGGAGATTCTATTATAGAGTTATATTATATTCTATTATTCTCTTGCAGTAAATGAAGAAATGAGGAAAACAGCTTTGTGAGAAACCTGAAGCTTGCCTGTGGTTTATTCTGCAATTAATTTATATGAGTAAGTTGGTTAAACTGAGCTAAATGACAGCTAGTTGCTCCACAAAGTAGAAGTATACCAGAGTAAGAGGCTTTCAAATAATCAAATCAGTGCAGAGGTTGTTCCTTTTGAACTTTAGAAACACATTAAAAGGCATTTCTATTTGCATCTTCAGAACAATAAGATGACAAAAAAGGATGACAACTAATTCATACTTAGAAACTTGAGATTACAGGAGCTGCAGTAGCAGTGGAGAGTTTCACTGTAAGAGCAAGCCAGCATTTTTGTAAAGATTCTCTTCTGGAGGGAGATGAAACAATTTATTTTATACCTATTATCTCAATTGTCCCTCTCCTATCATCCCCGAGGAAAGAGAAGACAGCTCAGTGACTCTGTTTCTCCCATCCCCTCCTACCACATCTGGCTGTGCCAATCTGAAGGCACCTTGCTCTCCAAGGTGCTCCTTTGCACACTGAAATGGGAATGACACATAAGAGAACTCAAGAAAGCTTGTTAATCTCTTAAAAAATTGTGTGGAATAACTACTGTTTGGGTCTTCTAAGAATCCTGTCTTTGCTTTGTGCAAATGCACAGGGCTTGTAACCGTTAAACAAGTGAGGAAGAACTGAATCTGGATTTGTTAATGTTTTTTTGGTATTTTTTGATGGTGGTGGTTGGTTGGGTTTTGTTTTCTTGTTGTTTGTTTGATCTTGGTTGGTTGGCTGTTTTTTTTGTTTGTTTGTTTGTGTGGTTTTTTTTAGAAATTCAGCACCACGCAAAGCAGAAAATAAAATTCCCTTCTGTTTTGATGTAAGCTTCAGTGTTGACTAAAGTGCAGGTTTTAAGATCTGCTCTAAGAACTACACACCTAAGCCTGAACACTGCAGCAATGGGGAATACACATTCCTGGGCTGTACAGAGGGCTCCCTTACAAGAAAAAGAGCACAACTCTCCCTCTAGTTGAGGTAGGTCTCACCCTTTTTCATATTAGCATTGGTTTGTTTTCCACCCTCCTCCTTCCTGCCCTCTCAGGCATGGCAACCCAGGCAGCCAGTACAAACAGATAGGACCTTGCTATCCATCTCAGCTCCCTCCCTTTCTCTCCTTTTTGTTTATTTTGCATTGTTTTACAAGCATCAAAATGAGAACTCTGCCCAAGATGCTGCTTGTGTCAAACAGCCTGTGGCATTTGTTGAACCTGAGCACTGGGCATTCACTTACGGCTTTCATCAAGCTGATCCTCAACAGTGGCAGCCTAGAAGGTAGAACTAACACTCAGTGTTGTCACAAGGACAAAATGCATGGAGATCCCTGGCATCTCTCCAAAATACAGTGATGCCAAGGCTGTCCTGAGAACAGAGATCAGAAAGGAAATGGCCTTAAGAACATATGAGGTATGATTACCAACAAGTTCATGTTCACACATGAATTAACAAAATGATAAATATTTAAACTCAGAACATGTCCTTCCTCTCTCCTGTCAAATCTTTCCAAACACTTCATGTACAAAAAATGAATTTCCAATGTCCAAACACTTCTTAAGAATACAGATATTCAACCACAGCAATGACTATTCTTTTTTTCCCACAGCCACTCATTCACCCAGGTCAGGCTACCTGCCCAAAATACTCCATGCCAGTAGAAAAGCCAGGTCTTTGATGTTCAGATCCAAATGTTTGCTGAGTGTTCAGCCCTGAAGACATTTTCAGACAATTAGTTTGGAAGCTTTGCACAATTTAATCAGAAGTTTTAAACTCTGATTGTACAATTAAACACAGTATATTCTTGCAGTTGTAATCTATCACGCTGCTCCTGTGTCAAGTAATCTGGCCAACAAAACTGCCTGGTACCTAGGAGTGGAGAAATGAGGAGGATAATGTTCTGCAAGAAAGCAGGTCTATCTAACATTTTACAATGCTAAAAATACCCTTGGGACTTGTTCTGATATCTTGTAATTATGCGCACATATCCTGATTTATGGTGCATGTCTCCCAGCTCAAGGAAGTATGCACTCTGCCTCATATCTTGCCCTATTTATGAGTAAAATACTTGATTCTGTAATGTCATAAAAGAGAGGACAGGCTCATTGCACATGTTACTATCGATTTCATATGAGCATGGGGCATAATCTAATGATCCTTTTCAGCTGAGGATAAATATGCACAATTTAGCCTTAAACAGAGTCAGCATTAGATCATTTCTACTGCTGCCTTTGAGAAATGTGGCTGAGATGCTAACGACGTCCACTGTCCAGCCTCCTTCATAAGTCTGGTGGAGAGTGTGGGAAAGGAGATGGAGACGAGCAAGTTGGAAAAAGGACAAGCAATCAAGCAATGTTAGCACCTGTGCATCAAGAAACACAACTTCTTCAGGCCAAATTTGTGAATTCATGTCCCACTTCGCCCCCACCCCATCTCCACATTACTCTGCTCTCCCACTGGGCAGCAATGAACAAAACAAACAAAATCCTCTCGGCAAAGGGTTGAGGTGGTTGATAGCAAAATAGGTATGCATTTCAGTTGTGAAGATTACCGAAAACATCTTAACCAATAGGCAGATACAGCTCCTTGTCTGTTATACACAGTCTCAAAAGGAGGAGAGATGGCCTGGCTTAGGCCAAGAGGTCAGATCTCCATTCCCTAAACCTGCTCTGCAGTCCTCACACAACCTTGGGCATGTGGCTGAAGTCCTCTCTGTAACAAGACATGGAAAGCAAAATACCAACCAAACCCATAAGCAATGCTCTGAGGTTTGAGACATTAATGGTTTCCAAACAAATGGTGATCCTATGGGGAGGAAAAAAAAAAAAAAAAAAAAAGGTAGTCTTTATTATTATTTTAAATCATCCTTTTTTGTGTTTATATATAATTATTATTATCATTTTCAACCAGATTCCAGATGAAATAACATATGCAAATTCAGCATTGTAACATGTTTTTCTATAGTTATTTCATGTTGGTATATAAAGTGAAATGTAGCTTAAACTGTTTTTCCCCACATATGCAGAAGCCACAAAAGTTGATGGAAAAGCAACAACCTAATGGTGAATTTACATCTGTCCTGTTTTCTCGGGAAAGCTCACATAGGTAGATATGCAGCCAACTTTATGAAGAATAACCTACACAAATAGAAATAAAAAAGTGACAACTGTTCTTGATAAACTTTTTTAAACAATATAATTTGTACGATGATCACATTTTAAATATTTTTAAGAAAATGAAAGTGGGAGGCTCACTCATCCTGACCTCTCTCTACAAATAATCCCAGCATTCACATCTGTTACTAGTGTCTGCATTGCTGCTAAAGTAAAATGTTTGATTTTGTTGGGAGGGGAGCACCCCACTAACTTTTTTTGATGTTCCTTATTTCAGAAAACTCATCTACTTAAACAGCCTAGGACTCTGTTACATGTCATGTATCAGATGCAGCCTAGAAATAATTTTATTCATCCAAAGCCATTGATGTGCTGTGACAGTGAGGAGCAAAACCCAGATTTCTTGAGACACAATCCAACATTTTAATGACAATCAAAACCTTCCTCCTTCTACAAGTGAGCTCCCTGATTATTAGCAACCTTGATGAATGGCAAGTTGAACACTGGATTGGGTGAAGTATTAGGCATTGCCTCTGCTGCCAGTGTTTTGCTGAACTGGATGCAGAAAAACAGGAGTAGATATTTTTAATTACCTCCCTTTGACTAGACCATGGAAATAAAGTTCTCATCAGCAGCCTGTCAACGCAAATGTGTAACTCAGAAAGAGAATAAATTAAAAGGAAGGGGCAGGGTGGGGTGCAAGTATTCTGAAGAGAAGACAGGAGGATTTAATTATTTGGTTTCTGTGCAAAATCTTACAAGATTATCTTGAGGAGAAATGAACAAACATTCTTCAACTCCATAGTTACATGGAGGCAAGGAGACACTGCAGTTAAGTGTGATGCATCTTTTTAATACTCAGTACTCACTGTTTAGTAATGGTCATCATTTTGGATTAAGCAACAGAAGTAACAAGACTGTTGCTTGGTTTTTCCTCCTTCACTCACACCACCCGACAGTCCCTCACAGAAAGTAGTGCCAAGATGGTTCAAGAGGGACCTGAATACATTGATTCAGGGGTGTATTTAATACACCGCACTCTGTGCAAATGCCATAACCCTCAGAGTATAGCATGCTGGAGGGCAGTTTCCCTACCCTTCACAGGATGTTTGGTTTGGGGGTAGTGCAGAAAGAATGTTTCTGACCATCTCACCTGTCTCACACAGGAGCTAGTTTTTAAAAGAACTTATGTTTTGAAGCCAAATATTTCATATGATGATATGAGAAGTACCATGCATCAATATAAGCATAGTATTACACTAAAAAGACTGAAAATTACAACAGTGAAAGCAACCCTTTCTGAACTAACTCAGGCATCCCCACATGATATAGCACTGGGCCACAGAGTCAAACTGTTCTGAACGTCTTCTAAAAAGTGAGCGATAGCAGCTATGGAGCAGCTCACCTTTTCTGAGCATCAGCATGAGCTCAGTTTGGCTTTCTTCACTTTCCTCACACCAGCAGTGCTGTTCCAGAGCCTTACGCACGCACACGTGCCATCTGTCCTGGGAAGAAGAGCAGATAGAAAAGTGCTCTTGGTTTGGGGAATAAAAACGGTCTTAACTGATTCAGCTTATACCTTGAAAGTGCCCCCAGGAGACTGTCCCAAGGGCTCTTCTGAGCTGGATAAAGCCTTTCTCCTGCCCAAACTCATCCTTTGGCTCCTGTAGAGCCAGCAGCTGCCACTGCCAAGAGGAAGCATAAGGCTGAACTCACCGGTGGCCTTCCTGCCTCCACAACCCTCGTGAAACAAGTGAGCCTTTTCAATACTTGCCTCTGGGAGAGAGCATCTGCACAACATCAAAGGGAGCCTCTGTATTTTCATTTGTAGACAAGAACTCTAGGAGACATACAAGTTTTTTAATGTACCATTTAGATTAGATGAGATTTGACATTGTTCCTAGTAGGAGCATTTTTATTTTTTCTTTCCCTAAATTGAAAGTATTCAATCTCACTGATGAACACAGTATATCTGTCACAGAAATTATTGCTCACGTACATGATTTAGGAACTGCCCTTCGTGTGCCTGAAAACCTACCTACAGAGAAAGGAAGGTGGAACTAATCTTAAGCAACATGAAGGTCAAGCACACCTTAGCAAATTAAAAATAAGGGAAGGTTTCTATAGCAAATAAGAGATAAAATAAGCCATCACGACATTAAGAACTATATATTTATTTTTCTTTCTGCAAGGATATTGCACAACAGTCAAAATAAAAAGAGCCCCTGTTCAGAAAACCAGGAATGTAATGGCATTACTGCTTTCTAGCCACGTGGAGCCATGGCAATATTTAGCATCACAAAGAAATGGGGCCCAACATTGGAAACCATATGGGCAGGAGAGAGATGGACGTAAGAGTCATTTACAGTTTCAGCAGTCCAAAACTGTCAGGAGTCTGCAATTTTTAGCTTGCAAAATATAGTACATATTTAGCATCTGAAAAGTCTGGATTCTGTAATAAGCACCAGACTCAAAACTTAATGTGCAGAGGATATAGCCTCTTTGTAGCACATTCAATAACATGGTACTTGATCAAATAAGAGCAGCCATTTAGACTTTACATATTGAGCAATAGCTCATCTACAAAATGTCAGAGGATGGAAAAAGGAAAAGAACACGTTACAAAAGAATATCCAGTCCTTCAGATAAGACTTAAAAGCAGTATATAATATATCCAGGATTAATAACATATTAATAGCTGTGCAAACTCATGTCATTCCCATTTCAATAGCTTGAGCCAAATAGGGAATGCATCTGACTTTATCTTTTCCGTAATTCTACTTTTTAACAGTTACATTGAATCAGGTCAAGCAGAACTCAAGATACTTTATTTCAAGCTTATTTCAATGGCTAGAGCAGCAATTTGAATAGGAAGCGAGAGTAGTACTGTTCTCCATAGTTTAAACTATTTTAATAGTTTAAATAAATGAAAGTTATTGAAACTGGTTTCCAGAAACGAACTTGAATCATGCAGAAATGTGCTGTTTCAATAAAGAATAGGATCAGCAGCACAGAAATGAATTACATTGAAAAGCAAAAATATGCCAAATCAGACAAAGATTTAAAACTCCAATACCTCACACAGGTGATTCTCCAGTAACATATTCCCACATACACCTGTTGCACACAGGAGGTAGGAAATGAAAAAGAAATGCTAATCCACACAAAAATGCAACTTGATGAAAGCAGAGAAGTGACACAAGGGCTTCAGTCCTGTATTTCAGAGCAGGTATTGGGCCAAAACTAGATATGGCAGCACGCAAAAGGACTAGGTAGATGATTAGAGGAGCACCACTGCAGTACATGTAGGAAAAACATTTTAGAGAAATTCCAGCACCAGAGGTTATATGTTGATGCTTCAAAGCATGATGTTTCTAAGATCGCACTCTCATTATGTTTCTTTTTATAGACATAGAACCACGAAGCAAAGACCTTGCTGACTGCAGCAATTTTCTCTGCTGAGATACGCTATTGGCACTGAGCTGACAGATTTATATTAAATTAAAATACAAATCCTAAGTTATCTTCACTTAAATGCAAAAGCATATACATACTGGGCTCCCAGTGGGAAAAAATATATATATACATATAATAAAAAATAAATAAAAATAAACAGAAGAAAAAAAAACATACAGAACGATTTTGTTTTTAGCTGCAATAACTGCAATGTTCACACAGTTATCATCTAATACTCTCAGGCCAACGTATTAGTACATCATTACATGGGATTAATGGGAAGGGTTGAGTAAACCAAGCACTGTTCTGCCGTGCTGACTTACCTCTTGCTTGGAGCCAGTGTGAGGATCTTCAATGTCTCAAAGTAGTGCCCACAACCCAGCATCATCATGCAGCAGAAACTTGTTCAAAATCACTGGAAAGCACATGCCATAGTCAGCCACACACATACACAACGGATATAGGCATTAGGTACCCACATTTCATATTTCAAGCCATAACTCTAGGCCTCAAAACACACATCAACTAACCCAAGATGCCAAAATTTTCATCACAAAAGGTAAGTAGACCCTAGAAATTCCACATAGAGCAGATGTGCCCAGAAACATTTCAACCTCAGGAATGTGAGAAATTCACATTTTTCTAAGGCCTACCCTTCATTAGGATCTTCTCCCTCCTACATTTTGCTTAAGGCAGTCAGCCCCACAGGTGTGCTTAAAACATTATTTTGGTAAGTTCCACATAAAAATACAGCAGTAAAGTTTGTCTTCAAAATCAGTTATTATCACAGTGGCAGAAGCATTATATCTTGCACTCTTCCATTCAACTCTTCTCAGACTCTACGTGCAGAAACCAGGTGCCTATTTCAGGAACGAGGAATGAGTCTATGAGGTGGACCAAGAACCCAAAGACCAGACATAGCAATTGTTCACGTTCTGGCCATAAAGTCCCCTTATGAACCTGCATCTAACTCGACTGGCAGCTCATTCAGTGTCTGGAGTGAAGTAAAGGGGAACAATTATACTATCTCAAATCATCATTATTGTTTCAATGATTGCATTAGCATTCTCCAAGCATAAACGTTCCACAAAACATTTCAGGCAGACTTCTAATGATGGATTTTCCCAACAGAGAAAGCAATTCCTCTAAGCAATAAAACAGTCTGTGAGAAATCCTGCAGTCATAAATCTAGTATTTCTCATTACAAAATTTACATCAGCCACAAAGTGATTACTTCTAAAATTACAAACCCTTGTGGGCAGCAATATTAGTGGGTTACCAATTGCCATTCTCATGACTCATGAGAAAAGCAAAGTTATAATAGTCTTGTAAAACACAAAATATCAAAAGAATTAATTGTCTTATTATAGACAAAGTTTAGGGCATCCACAGAACAGACATGTAGTTATTGAAGTACAAAGACCATGAAGTAAGTCCCCATGGAAACTCTCAAAGGTTACACAGGAAAGTCTGAACAATGCAGCTTTGTCACAGCTTCCCAACACACTCTCCACAAGAGCTGTCCCCACAGCAAACCCTTCACTCCCGCTCACCACAGGCACCCACATGGGAGCAAGGAGCACACAAGAAGGAAAAAGACAGAATACAAAGAAGAAAGGGTGTATCCACGGCCCCTTTCTCCTCCTGAAAGTGAGCTTTAACTTCCCAGCCTAACCCAGCTGCCGGCCCCCTCCCAGTGCCAGGAGTTTTGGGGCCCACCATGTTTGGCAGGTCCCCTCCTGGGGCAGAGAAATTACAGCTCACGGCAGGTGAGGGGGGTACATGGGGCAATGCGTGTGCTGGTTTTGTCTGGCTAGCTTGGGTCTGGAGCAGACTGACTGTAGGACCTGTCAGGGAGCAGACGTCCTATAGAGCCAGTTCAGCTCACCTGTTTCTTCTTGCAGTCTTCTTTTCTCTAGATGCTGCAACCTAGCCATGACCTGGTGCATGAGGATCAGGGAGCTCTATAAAGACCACTGGGATTAAACCAGACACATTTTAGCAAGAAAAGCCTGTCTTTCAACACCTCACTTTGGAAGAGGTAAGTGTTACCAATTCCATGAGAATAGGTAAGAAATTGCAAAAAGCACCTTAACAAATACAGGATTGATCGCGCAGTGAATGTAATCATAAATAAAATTAAATTTGTTTAACTCATCAGGATTCATTTTTCCACATATATTAAGAAACTTCATTGGTTTCACTGAAGAGAAAGCAGAGGAGGAGGAGGACAAGTGGATACAGCCATTTCTGCATGACTAGAAAACGATCCACCAGTTACCGAGCCCACGAACACAACACCACCAGCACACGTAACAGCACTCAGGTTCCTTCACTAACTTAAATTTTAAGCAATACAGAAGGCATCCTTCAAAAAAGGCAGTGACTGCCATAAGGGCTTTAATAGGAAGGAAAAAAGTGTTTAATTTTTGCCCCCAGTCATCACCAAGGCAACTGCCACCAGCAGCATCCACACTACTTGGCCTTCCAGCATGAGGGGGGGTTCAGTCTTAAGAGGTAACACCTCTGTAGGTCCGAATCTTCATCCCAGCTGTGTTTTCCACACAGGTAATTGCTCTCTAAGGTACAGAGCCCACACAGAAAACACCTTGCTTTTCACAGCCGGGGGGCTCCCCAGAAACCCAGTGGTAGGCCAAGGGACAAGCATGTAGCCAGAAGACTAATCTCAACTAAACACCATGGCAGGCAACACACCGCTGTGGAGAGCTGTCCCTGTTCATCACTGTTATGTACAGGATTTTTTTTGTCAGTAGGAGGCAGCCCATGAAGGAGCAGAGAGGCTGTGCCAACTCCAGAGCAGCAACGTGGCACCCTGAGCAATGAGGCCACAGTCCCTGGGCACAGGCGAGGGACAGGGGAGGCAGCACGGGACATTAAATCGAAGGCAAGTCAGGTCCCAGGCACAGCACGAGCCACTTTGAACCACGCTGAGTAAGTTGCTCTTCAGCATCCTGAGGAGCAGGTTTTGGAACCAGGTCATCCTCGTTTCTGCTCTGCCTGGAGCTCCTTGGGGCTCGACCAGAGCCCAGACACAGATGGGGGTAGCCCGCTGCTCGCTGCAGCTGTAGGAAGATATTATCACTTCTTTTTTACTGCAAGTCTGATCATTGGGTTTTGTATTGCTTACTTTGCACAGTATGGTGCAAAATTTATTACAAGCAAGGTAACAGTAGCAAAAAAAAAAAAAAAAAAAAAAAAAAAAAAAAGTAAATACATGCTCGCAAAAGAAATGAAGTTTTATTACATACAAAATATACTAAAAACACATTCCCACAATTTATTACCTCATCTTTGCCATACCCTGTGCACTTCATTTTAACTATTCTGGGAGTAGCCTGGTCACATTTTCCATGTTTATGAGAAAACTATTTTCCAACTATTTCTGTTCCTTACCATTGAATGAAAAATATTCAATATGCTTATGCTTTCTGCCCTAATAATACATTTGAAATTTATAGGGCTGTAAAATGATATCCTAGCATGGCATTAGCTATTTCAATCTTTGATATATTGGTGCCATTTGAATGGGTGATAATCGTTTACCAGCTCAAAATACTGGCCTAGTAAAAATCACTTCAATGCTCCCATAACAAATATTTACCCTCTAGCTGTAAAGCGTATTTTCTGTGGGTAAATTTTCTATTTTAATAGATGCTCACATGCTGTATTGCTCTTGTGTATCCAGTTCCACATACACCACAACCCAGTCTCAACCTTTCACAGTTACTTAAAAAAAAAAAAAAAAAAAAAAAAAAAAAGGCATTTTGAGAAAAAAAGCTTAAAGGACCTTTACTTAGAGATGGATAAAAATTGATAGGCGTATTATGCATAAGTTAGCTTCACATCTCACGATTGAGAACCATCAGCAGGCAGATTTGCTCTAAATTGGGACTGCCTGAGATCTGCTGATGAGCATAGAGTGAGGCCCAAGTCCTCCCATCCCTCTCACTTAGAGGGATGCGCCCTATGTGGTAGCAATCTCCAGAATGGTTACTTCTGATACTTTTTAAGCCTGTATAATTTTCTTGTCTTCACCTTACTCCTGTTAGGTGATTATGAAATAAATGATCACAATCCAAAACCATAAGTCTCGTATTTCTGCATGGAGCACATGTATCTTTGGATTATCAGTGCAGGACATCACCCAGGACAAAGACTGGCCATCTCCACAATGGATTGCTTTTTGCCTCTTAAAAAGATGCTTCAAGTTGAAAAATTAGTTTTGATATTGGAGTTAAAACATTTCATCTTGAAACTGTCACAACAAAAACTTTCAATTTCCTGGATTGTTTATTAAAATATCAAAACACTGCAGTATTTTTCAAATTCTTCCCGCCCCACCTCCCTAAGCAGGGAAAGGACAAACAAGAAAGAAAACTGTTTGCCATGTCAGACCATAGTTCTTGAACATTCACGGTCTTTTCCTGCTGTGACAAAAGACAGAAAAAAATGCATTTGTCTCCCCAGCACATTTACTACTCAACAAAGGACACCCTTCCCCTTTGTTGGGGTCATGTTTGCAAACACATAGCCAAAATACCACTCTTCACCTCAACTTTTCAAAATTCTTTTTGGAGTATTTTCAGTACAGTTTCCAGTAAAAATTGATTTTAAGCAATTAATTTTGGCAGTTAATTAGGATAAGGAAATTCAAATAGCATATTTTCCAAGAGAAAAAAGATCTAGCTTCACACAATGAATTCCTGGTAATAGAGACCAAACCCATGCCAACAGCATCTGGCCCAGTGTATGACTGGTCACTCTTTACCATTGTCAGAAGATCAGGTTGTGAAAGCAATCTGTGATTCCCAATTAAACCACTTCCTTCAGCTGTGAGACTTCCTGCCATATTACTAGACAAAAAATCCTGCACCTACCATGTCTTGATTTCCAAGCTGGCTTTCTGGAATGCACATAACAGAGGTGAATAAGCCTATGTTGCTACTTTTGTTTCAAGGATGAAGCACAACAATTTACAAGTAGATCTCCAGTGGGGTTTTAGAGATGTGTGCTCAATTCTGTGAAACATAGAACTTTCATAAATAGCCTGGAAAAAGTTAATATGGAAGTGAATATGCTTGCTGGAAATGCTCCTTTCCTTACAGCCCCAAGTAACTTAGCAACAGTGAAACACTCAAAGAAATTTATGATACGAAGTGACGAGGTGCTAGATGCAACAGCAGATTAAATTCAAAAGAAGAAAAATGTGAAGCCATACTCGTGGGGCAGTAGGGGGTGGGAGCAGGGAATTAGCTTTCCATAGAAAATAGTTGGGCCTGAGCCAACCACCACCATTCAGGATTTTGGGATTATGCTGAATAACACTATCAAAATCTCTCAGGTATATTCCAAAATTTCACAAGGAAAATGCAATGATGGAAGTTATTAGGAAAG